TTTTTTTTTAAAGGAAAGAGTAGATATTTAAAAAAAGAGGGAAAAAATTCTTATACATATAACAAACTGAAAATTCCATTTCCGAGATCAGAAATGCCAAGGGGAGGGACACATACACTACCCCAGCCTAAATCTTTAAGTATTTATAAAGCAAGATGACAGTTTACCTCTCCTTTTCTTTTTTTAATTTAAAGAAACTATCAGCAAATGTTTTAGAAATTCTCCTGTCACCACTGTGACCGATCTTCCCACGTCTCTCTTCTTTTTTACAGCCGAGAACTGATCTGCTCCCTGTCTGTTAGACCACAGGCCACCCCAGGACAGCCCCAGACGGTCAGTGCTAAGCGCAGCCTGAATCTGTGCCGTCAGTGATCGGAAGGAGGTTTTCCACACACAGGGTAAGGAAGAGGAGGCATCAGGGTGAGGGAGGGGCGGCCCAGAACACAGAACGTTTTGCTTCTGGATTTCTGACACAGAAATTTCCAACTCCAAGAATAGATGTTACACAGAAAAAACTGTTGTACATTCTGCTACAACTCTGTCATTAGCTTTTGTATGAAGTCAAAAATTAAGAATCCCAGAGTGCAACCTTGAAATACGGTTCACGTGCTGGAAGTTACAACAGTGAGCCTGGGGCAAGGTAGCAGGTGGCCTCGGAAGGAAGGGGGCTTCTCCCCCGGACCAGGAGGGGGCAAGTCCTCTGGCCATGTTTTACCTTCTGTCTCTGGGGACCCACCCTGGCTCTGTATCTTCTAGAAGAGACTCATGTGTTTCCAATCAGTTAGTGCCTAGTAGCTAGTACCTGGTATCAAGGCGGTGAATGCTGGCTCATACCTGCAGCTCTGCTGTTAGCAATGATCTCTGGACCCTGAGGGATGACTGTAGAGTCTGGGGGAATCCTAGATTTACATGGATTCCAACACAGTATATAGGAGACAAAAAGTAGACCCCATAATGTGATTATGATAAGATGCTCAAAACTGGTTTTAAATACTAAAGTAGAAAAAATGGTGTACAAAGCACTTGCTATGTGCCAGGCCACAGCACTCCTCAAAGCAGCACCTTTGAGCTTCACAGCCGTCTCTTGAGGTAGCTTCTATTGTCCCCATTTAACAGATGCAGCCACTGAGCCTGTGGTCACACATCTATCATGTGGTAGAGCTAGGATGCAACACCAGCAGCTGAGCTCCACTGTCCAGTTCTTGACGGCCATGTCACTCTCTCAAATGTGGGGCTGCTTAGCACGTGCCAATCACTGTTCTAAGTACTTGACATGGCTTGCGGCTTGATGGGCCCACAGTCACTATGGGGCAGAGACTCTGAGGAGAGATGCCCAGTCCAGTGGATGAGGTGGGGCCTAAACCTGCCAAGCACGCCTGTCCAGGGTGGGGCAAGGCCTGGACTTGAACCTCCAGAGAGTGTTGGTTAGAACATTCTGCCTCTATACATAGCCCCACTCCTGCCACGGTGCTAGGGAATGAGAGCCTCCATCCAGATAAAGCTCAGGAGAGGGGAGAATGGGGCTGAGTGCCAAGGGGGCCGTGGGGAAGGGCAGACCTACCTTGTAGAGGTGGTGAAAGCCGAATGCGATGCCCGCCATGATGACAGCCAAGGCACTGTAGTCTCTCCATCGGGAACCCACGGGGCCTGTGGTGGGGAGACAAGGCGAGTGAGGAGAAGAGGCACACGGGTCCTGCCCAGGGCTGGGAGACACGGACCAGCACCCTCGACTGACAGTGTGGACAGGCAGTGATGATAAGGCCCCACCCTGTCTTGCCCTGCTTTCCCAGTGAGCCCGTGAAGAGGAGACAACCTACAGGTGACAGATCGATAGAGCGAACTCCAGAAAGATGCAGAGGCTAAGCAGGGTCCTGGGAGAGTGGGGATGGTGGGGGAGGGGCCAGGAGTCCTTGGCAGGGCCTCGCAGGAGGCCCTTGGGGTCCCAGGGAAAGCAGTCCAGGCAGGGCACAAGCAACTGCAAAGGCAGGCTGACCCATGCTCCAAAGACAGAGGTGGCCAGTGTGGAAAGGGAGCATCTGGGCCTGACCGACCAGGGAGGGCAGCCTCGGCCAAGCCCCAAGGATACAGAGGGGCCCAGTAAACCTGGGGAGCAGAGCAGGCAGGCTGGGTGGGAGAGAGGTGGGAAAGGCAGGGCCAGGCCAAGAGTGTGCCTGAGGGACCCCAACATTCGCAAGCAGAAGGCCTGAAGAAGGGGTGACACGGCCAGCTCTCTATGAGGAGGAGAAGGTAAGGCAGCCCCAAGGGCAAGCTCTGGTGAGAAGGAAGCAGGGAGGAGGCTACTGCCAGGGGCCACAAAAGGCAAGAGGGATCGGGGCCTAGAGGGACTAGGACCAGGACGGAACTGGCTTAGGAGAACCAAGTGCTGCTGTCGTGGGTGAAGCCCAGGAATGGCAGCCAGTCTCCATGGAGGGGCAGGCTCCTGGCAAGCGCTCTCAGAGCAGCCCGTACGGAAGCTCCCAGGACTCTGGTTCCACCAGAGGATGGGTGTTCTCTACTGCATGATCATCCACCCACTGATTACAATATGCTTCCACGTCCATAATCTTATCTGATGCCCCAGCGATTCTGGGAGGTGCCCAGGAAAGCACTGTGTCTCCATTTCCAATGTCCACCTGGAGTGGCTACGCCCAGGCCATGCCGTGTGGCACTCTGTCTCCTCTAAAGGGATCTGCCACTGGGGGCAGGGGCTGTTCCCAGAACTGTTGGCAGGACACAAATCAGTCTGTGAAATCAGACCAGAGTGCCGTGGGACGTTATCCTGAGACATGCGGCTGCAACGAGGCACTGGGATCCAGAACTAAGTCTGGGAGAGAAAAGGTGAAGGAGGGAGAGCAGCACCCCGAGTCTTGGAGGAGCACCTGGCTCTCGGCTAGCGCAGCTGAAGCAGGGATTTTTTTAGGACAGACACTGGATGCTTCAGCCGTCACCTCCACCAGGGCCTGCTAGCTCCTGAGATAGTCACATCCTGGTGCTTCCTGACCCCAGGAGAGCAGGGAGGGTTGGTTCTTAAAGCTCAGTAGCAGGATGTGGGCACCGGGAGAGAAGGGGCTGCTGGGAGGCAGCTGACTAGGGGTCCAAGTGGCAAAGACCCCCAGGGGTGAGGGAGATGTCCCCTCCTCCCTGAGCTGCTGCATGAGAAGAGCCAATAAGTCTCTCTCTTTGGCCACCACACCTCTTCCCTCTCTGACTGACTGGCCTGTGGATTCCACATGAGCTTCCCAATGTGGCTGAGCCCCAGAGTCTCCTGCACAAAATGTAAACAGCAGGTGGCCTCTTCCACAGCCCTGAACTTCCCTTTTTGGTTTTACAGTCTTTGAACAGGTAATGTATGTGTGGTCTAAACCTAACGTAGCAGTCAGCCCTCTGCAAAGAGGCTCCCTCCACCAACAGCCACTGCTAACAGTTTGTTTATCAGGCCAGAGAGTTTTATGCACATTTAAGGCAATGCAGCTGTGTATAACTTTCCTTCTCTTTCCCTTTTTCTCACCCTTCTTTTGTCCCTATGGCTGCTCAATATTCCATTTAATCAAGTCCCTTCTGGTGGACGTTTAGGTGATTCCAGTCTTTTACTGCTTCCCACGATGCTGCCTGCCATCAGGGACCGCGTGCACACATCACTCACATGCATGTACAAGCATGTCTGTAGCTGCGAACGCCCGGGAAGCTGGGTCAGAGGAACATGCACCTGCAACCCTGAGATGCTGCAGCTGCTCTCCAGGAGCTGGCTCGTCCCCCAGCCCGCCCACGCGAGCCTGCTCCCTCAGGCCACTGGACAGGGTGGATCCAGCCAACGCAGGAGCAGGAAAACGTATTTCACTGCAGCTTTCACCTGCATTATCTTGTTAGGAGTGAGGACTGCGTGTCTTTTCATCTGTAGTTCCTTGTCAGTACTGTATATGGTCCATACTTTTCTACTCCATTTCTCTATCCATTTCCTTACCAATTTACAGAAACTTTTTATATGGCAGGGAAATGAGCCTTTTGCCCATGACAGGAGTTGCAACAATCCTTCAATTTATTTTTCTTTGCCTCTGCTTATGGTGCCTGTGGCAGGCAGGTGTTTTTCATATTTATACAAACATATCCGTCTGCTCCTTTCAGGGCTCTGGGGTCTGGGTGACAGCAAGCCAGGACTCCCCACGCCCTCCCAAGGTTGTGTGGGGACACTCCAGGGCTCACGTCTAAGAAGTGGGCCCCAGAAGGGCACTCTGGCTCTGACCTGCAGTGACATCCCACCCAGCAGGAATCTATGCAGATAAGCAATAGCCGCTTGTTAATCAAGCCCAGAGGCTTTTTGTCCCAAGCAAGCCTCTCTTTTGCCTCATTCCTGATCTGCTCTGCTTGGACTGCCTTGTTGCAAAATCCAACACTGAGGGCAAGTCCATTTTTAGGATGAAAAAGTGAAGACACTGGGCAACCTTTCTGTTCCAGAGGGCTTTCATCCCCACACCCAGACACCATCTAAAATCCCCAGAGAAAGCATCTTCAAAATGGCACACGTCCAGAGTATTACATTCACCCCTAGTTCCTTCAATACTCACTAAATACCCTACAAAAAAAACAGTTGCAACTAACACCTGGACCGGAATCCAGTGTGCCAGACCCTTTCCTACAAACATGCCGTGCCTCAGAAGTGCAGCCTCTCACCCGGGCACCGGAGTGGCCCAGGTGGAACAGAGGCGGTGGTTCAGGGTCCGAGAAATTGGGACCTCTCCTGCAGCAGCTCCCACCTTTCCAGAGCTCCAACCTCCTTGCACACCAGGAACACCTGTGGCTCTCTGCCAGCCGCACCCTTCACCCCACCCTGTGCCTCATTCCTGCCATGCTCCCGTTAAGAACATTTTATTGCCCCTGGTTTTCATTATTAATGAAAAGGGACCAGAATGATCTTTCCTAAAGTTCAGAGAGTCTATAAAGACAAGAAACTGAAATGCCATTCTCCTCGTTCCGGAGTGTGTGGGACAATTCTGACTCATGGCAAATGAGAGGAGAAAAACCAAGTTGGAGGCAACTCTTACCCACCGCGTGCCTTTCAGAAGGGCTGCTGAGAAAGCAGTCAGCGTGATCCAGACCTAGCTGAACCCCAGGGACAACCACCTGGAGCTTTCTCCATGCCCACCCAGGGCCACTGTCCGCACCCAGTGCAGACCTCCACAGGGGAATGAGAGCAGAGCGCTGGGAGCCACTTAAGGCTACAAGAGCCTCTCTTGTCACCGTGCTCCCTGGTCCAGAATCATACAGTCAAAGGCAGAATGGGGCTGCACTTTGGCTCCAGCTTGAAAGTGAGGGACATGGAATGAGGTGTTTGGAAGCTCCAAGTCCCAGTCTGGAAGCAGATGCCCACAGGCAACGGGGCAAGAAGAGCGTTCAAGCCCTGGCTCCACAACACCAACCAGATGGTTCCCAAAGACATTCTTCCTTCTCCTGAAGACAGACCAGCTAAAGAGAGCGACAGAGCTCTGCTAGATTTAAAGAGCCCAGAAGCAGTGGTATCTTTACTATCACCCACATGCCCATCCTCCACAGCACTTCCCAACAGGCAGGACTAGCTAGCTAGCCAAGGGGCACAGCACTTCCCCGACACACCACATCACTGGGGTCTCCTGGAGGAGGGGGAGCCTGGCATCGGTGGCAGCAGCCTTATCCTGTACAACTGGCATTTCAGGGGCTGCCCTGTGCCTTAGGCTGCGACAAGGCCAGAGGACAAGCTGTCGTGGGGAGAAACTCAACACGTTCCCTAACATTCCATGGATTCCATCAACTAGCGTGAGCTCCAACAGTCTCAGAAATTTTGGGTGATCTACGGTGTGCGGCAGCCACATCAGGGGAACAAAAGCTGCCCAGTGGCTCCTTACCTCACCGAACACTAACAAAACCGCCATGACTCAATTCCCTTAGCTATGTCTCCCAAGAAATCCTCACCTGGCAGGCGAGAACAAGCACTGTAAATAAGAACACATGCACGGCGCTGGGAAGCAGGCCCACAACACAGCCATGCTGAGCACAAAACCTCCAAGCTAGGGACTCACTGACACCACAATCCAGTAAAGGTTCAGTTCGTCAATACGAGGCTGAAAGCCACCACAGAATCATCCTGCTGAGACAACCTGCATCAGCATAACAACAGGAGAAACCAGGCAAGCCCCACTGCGGTTCCCCCACATTCATCGAATCTGGAGCCACGACCCCTCACTGCGTGGTATCCAGCTTCTCAAATCACCCCATCAGCTCTGCTCACAAGCCGCCCTGAGCATTCACTAAGACAGGCTCATCCACAGTGAGGTCCTGAAATAAAGGCCTGTTACAGCACGAGTTGCTGGGCTAAATGCATGGAGCAATGGGGGACCAGCTGAATGGCACTACAGGCTGAGCTGGGGACAGCTGGCAGTGGTCAGAGAGACATGCCGACCCAGCGAAGCAACCAGAAACAACAGCTCTGCTAGGAGCAGAAGCACCTGGGCAGCCTGCAGGGCAGAGGCATCACGGTAGTTCAGCAGCAGTCATGTCTGACCACCCAAGGCCTCTTCACACCAGCATCCTGTGAAAGACAATCTTCCACTTCTCATGAGCTGCGATGCTATCAGCAGAGTCATCTTTAGGCAGGAAGGACACTGAGGCATATCTAT